ATGTTTTGCTGTTGGGTTGCGGGGAGGGATGGAAGACGGCTACGGGATGCATTACAATGAGCACAAACTCATGGGGGACCGTTTGTCTGGAAACGACGACGGCATTACAGTGATTGTCTGAGCGTGTTTTGTCTACAGCAGTGGAGCATCAGGAAATGTGCGCTGAATCTTACGCAGAGCAGCCGGGCATCACCAAAGGCGATTTTATTTCAGAGAACACGGGACGAAAAGGGCAGTACAACAATAGCATCGGCCTGGGGAGGGAAGGATACACGAGGAAGGGAATAAATTAAAATGTGTGTGTGTGACATTTTGGGAAGCTGAAACACGACGCGCTCCCGATCACAGCAGAGCGGAGTGTGTTTTCACAGCAGACACATACGGACAGAACACAGTACACCATGGCGCCGCACTTTATCATACGACTGACTCACCGAGACATGCAGGGTGCCAAACACACTTCCCATGATGCTGTGCGCAGCTCTCAAGTAAAATACCTTTTTCACAAGTATACTATCTATATGTGGCTTTTTTTATAAAAAAAAAAAAAAAACACTAATTCATTAACACTTTTTTCTTATGTTTTACTCAGCCATGGGTCACTGTGAAACGGAGCACTGGAATGTCCTTGATGGCCATCAATATCAATGTGAGACAAACAGAGGCAATTCTAGGGACATGGGGCCCTGCAAGACAACCCGCCCAACACGGTAAAATTTATGACAATTAATTTAGCGTGGAGTCTAAATTAATATCAAAGAATTTAATAAACACAATTCCTTTATTTTCACTTTGCTGTGAAAAACAGAATATATAAAAAAAAAGCAGATTTGTCATTGCGTAATCAGTCCTGCCATGCCTGTCCCTATGCCCCTGGCGACAAAAACCAAGCATTTAACGTCAGGCTATTGCTAACCCTTAAGTGCTAACCCTTAAGTGTCAACACAATCGACATTTCTTCAAAACACACATTTCCATTTACATGCATCATAAATGACTAAATCAAAAGTAATCGACATCATTTGAGCTAACAATGCTTAAATCTGCTTGCTTATTTCATTCTTGCCTTCATCCTCTCCCCCAGAGAGATCCAAGAGGGACTGTTTCCCCATAAGCTCAGGGGGAAGCCCTTTGCCCATCACATGTATTAATTGTCGTAACTCGGAGTTCAGCGGGAAGCGAGAATAGTCCAGCGGAATCTGTGGGACAGCCGAACCCAAGTTACAGCGCTACACGTACAATCTGTTGCATTAAAAAAACAAATGGGCGTGTTTATTTTCTAATTGAAAATACACGCTGTGCGGCGATGGTGTTGCGTCCGTGATGACCCTCCAACGCCTTTCAATAAGAGCGACCGCTGGGACGTTAATGGCCAGGAGGGTCCCCTTAATGGCCAAGGCAAACCGCCTTATTGATTTCCTCACCGAGGAAAGGTCGGAATTAAATAAGTTGCTGTGGAGTTTAAAAACCGAAGCGATAAGAGTCTCACTTCATTATTGCCGGTTGGCTGTAAAACTTTATTTCTGCGTTTCGAGTCACGCCGGTCCTCCTCATAGCGGCGGTGAAAGCGGCGCTGAAACGCCGCTGCGGAGAGACTCTGTCCCGCTCACTTTCCCCAGCCGCCGCCTTTGAAGATGAAGACATTTCGAAATCTCTCTGAGTTTGAGTACTGAGACTATCAAATATTCCGTATCATCTTCCAGAATAGAGCTGAGGGTTTCCTAACTGGCACACAATTATGCATTTCTGGCAGGGAAAAGAAACTCTAAAAATGTTGTTTTTCTTCTCCTCTTTGTCATTAAATCCCATTAGACTTCGTAAGATCTTCATTTGTCCAAGTTGTCAGTGAGCGTACAGCTTCTTCACGATATACGGTATAGAGAGCCGCTTTTTTCTCCGGCTGTTTACTGCATTTTTCACCAAACTGAGTCGAATCAACCAAGTTTGTGATTGTGGGGCTTGTCGGCAAATGGCGGGTAAACAAAACACTCAAGTCCATGAACTTTTAAAAACTGGAAACAGGGTGAATACATTAGTCCGAATTGCCCCCAAGCTGTACCTGGATTTCCTCCAGAACCCTCCATCCCCCCACAACAGGATCATAAGTGCTCTCTCAGCATAATCGCCATCCCAGGCAGTCTCTATAAGCGTACTTAGGCCATTATTAAATTATACTACAAGTTCTCTTGATAAACATATATATGAAAAAGAAAGCGGATTTATTCATACTAAATGCATTTGACTGTCACTATGGAATTATAAAACGCAGCTTCAGGCCAATTTAATTTTTACTCTACAGCAACTTGCTTGGTGAGACAGTGCCCCCCAGTGGTTATGTCGCGTAATTGAAATCTGGAAATGAACGGAGAAACTCAAAGAAATCTTTTTCCCTCCCAGCATTATAGCTCATGTTGGTAATTAGATCTATTTATTTATTAATGTATTAGTAAGTGACAATGACAAAAAGCGTCCATGTTTGCAGTAATGGGTTTATGCTCTCTGCATGATGATACTGCAGAAAGAATTTCATGACAGAACCAACTGCATTGGGGGAGTGAATTAAAATCACCGATTAAAGTTGAAAGCACAAGACACGGAGTTACAGGAACACGTGCTGAACTGTTGACTCCTTAGCTGAGCAGAAACAGAGCTATGGGTTTGGCGGCAAAGCTGTTTTTTCTTCAGGTCAGCAAAGGAGCAGACAGTAAGTTCTGCAAAAAGGTTGGGCAGGACGATTCGGGCACTGTGTAATTAATGCCCTGCACAGCGCTGACGGGGAGGGGGAGCCAGATCCAGGCTGACTCCAACCCCCTCCCCCCCCGAGGGGGCGGCGCGCGCTGATTAAGCCGTCCACGAGAGCCCAGGAAGCCGACCTCCCATCGGCCTTGTTGGGCTGCTGCCCACTGAGAGGCGGGCACCGCGGTCCGGGGGAGGGACGGGAGAGGCGGCTGGGAGGAACAGGAGCAACAAGGAGGAGTCGGAAGATCGAGGAGCTCCCCGCCTCCAAGCAGGATGCGGTGAGGACAAGACCCTTTATCTTGGCTGATATCCCAATCAATCAGGGAGACAGCGAGGGAGGCCCCAGCAAGTGACAACCATTCCTAACAGGGATACAGGGAGCTACTCCCATCCATCATAGTAACCTCCCTCCAACCTTTAAACTCCCGGATTCATCAGAAAATTAGTTTGTGGTGCCAAGGGGCTTGGGAGCATTGTAACGATAGCACTGCATCCGGACAAACGAGTTAATCACGAGGATTAGCGACACGCCTCTACTGCACAGGTGAAGACGCCACGTGCCCCCCACTTCCCGCTCCCGTAACCCCATCCAACCGGCATCGTTTCACTTACCATTAGCCTCACAGCCATCATTAGCTTTCACACGGTGGAGAGACACACATCTATCAAGCCGACCTGGGTTCATTAGGCACCTGACACCTGGGGCTACGGGAGCAATTAGAAAGCGGCAGTATGGCACTTGGCGGTGTGGCACAGGCGCGGCGGCGCGAGGGTCCTGCGAGGAGGCGCCTAGCGGTGATTAATCACACGCTCCAGTTGCAATCTGAGCCCTTGTGTTTGTGAGCTCGTAAAAATATATTGAATAATCTGGTGTAGCAAATGCACCAATTACGGGACAGAGAAAATTAGGCAAATTAGTGGACATATATAAAAATAAAATAGGATGAAGAGGGTTTGGGGGGGGGGGGGGCGTTTGGCTTGGCTTCATCAGCTGCAGGTAGGAAACATCAGAAAAAAAAACTGCTCTCCGTCTCACTTGATCATAGTGGAGACAACAGGCAGCGTATGAAAAGGTTGTCCGCCTCAAAGACAAAGGAGGGCTTGCCTTGCCTTGCGTACCCCCCCCCACCCAAACTATTTGCCCCGGTCTCCCCTATTATGCTCCATCAGTTGTCAGGACGGGTGCTTTTTGAGGGGGCCTCCTGATGGCGGCGTAGGGGGGGGTGGCCGCCTGCCGCTACTTGGAATGAGGCTGCTCGTCCGTGCAGAGCATGCGTCAGGCAGAGGCGAAGCTGGCAATTCATCACCACAGCGGCGGGCTGTCATTCCTGTGGGGGGCGGGGGGTGGGCACATTCCACTGCTTGTAGCCCCCGGGGTGTCTATCTAGACAGGTCAGAGCCCAAGGATGCAAGATCAATTACTTTGTGCTGTGGAATCAGAGCGAGGAGTTTAAATTAGGCGGGGCTGCACCCTGACCCTGCGAGGCGGACAGCAGGCGTGCAGGCGGTCCTGTTGCAGGGGGTACAGCAGGGCAGTGGGATCACAGGCGAACAGCTACAGTAACGGCCTTCCATTACAGGCAGACACTTCACAGCTTGGGTCCGGAAAAAGCAGAGCGCTGCTCAACAAACAGCCCCCAGAGCCCATTAGGGGCGAATCGTCTCGCAGGCCCAGGACTGGCAACCACTCACTTTATCTCAAGATCTGACATTTCCTGTCTGTCTAACTGGACACTTTGGTAGGACATTGGCACAAAGCTCTTCCCAATGGTATAAGCAGGAGAATCCTGTCATTAGTTGGAACTCTGCCCCCTCAATAAAGTAAGATTATTTGGTTAAAAGTGGCAGAATAGCCAGCCAGCAGTAACCACTTACCTAGTTAGGGTTGCAGGAAGTTCAACCTAGACGGACAGTCCATCACAGGCCCTTATGACCAAGAGTACATCTGGGTCGCAGGTGTGGGGTCACGCAAGGCAGCAGCAGGAGGAGACCACGGCGCACATCTGGGGGGGGGCAGAGCCTCCCTGGACTGGTGCAGCGACTCGCCACCTGTCAGGCATCAGGGACAGAACGCTGCACCACACTATGTGCCGAAAGTTGGGGACAGTGTGAGGAAGGACTCTGCACATTATTATGGGATGTAGACTCAATGCCTGGCATATTTTCTAGGATCCCACACATCCCCCAACCCAAAACCTTTAACTGAAAAATGACAGTCGAGACCCTCAGCAGTGGATCACATCATGACAGGAGAGCGCAAATCTTTTTAGTATAAAAACTTTATTTATAAGGAATAACAACATGCAATTAACACAAAATTAAAAAGATATTGCACTGGTTTTACTCTAGCAGTTTGTCATACCCTGAACCCCATCCCACGTAAGCTGCGGTAACACCCTTCCCACACTAACAGACAAAAGCACGCTGCCCCCCCCCCTCCCCCAAAAGGGAGCCCCATCCTCGTGCTCCAACCACCAACCCAGCGGGGCTGGGCCATCTATGGCACTGGTCTCTACACGCAGGACAACATTAACACTGCTAAGGATTACACAGATCCTGCATATATAAAATTATTTTAAAATTGTTATTTATTATCTCTCTCCGTTAAAAAACACACAAGACATCTAAGAGACCTCCTTCCACAGTCAATGTGTGTCAGAGACTAAAGAAACTGTGTGAATGAGAGAAATGGCAAGGAGGGATAAAAGCAGACTGCTGCACTCCTCGCAGGTGGTCAGGTGACCTTGCTGCATCCCAGACACACACGTACCCTCCCTCCGGCCTCAAGTATCATGGCGAGTAACACATATTTCTCACATTGAAGACAAGTGGTCCTTGAATAGAACAGAGACTTTCAGCTACAGAACTACAAGACCCAGAAGGCCATTGTGGCTATGTCACTCCCAAGATGCACTTCCAGTAAGCGGGAGCCCCTACAACATTAAGGCCAGTACAACTGTCACCTAAACACAACACTCTCACAAATAGATTAAATAGAACAGATCACTATTTACAACTCACATTTTTTCCACCCCTTCTGCAACTGTAAACTTTTTTTTTTTTCCAAAGGCTATTTGGGGATTTAACAGGGACTGCAGGTCTGTTTTAGAAAGGCTTTGGTCAGGCAAGCTGGATAACTCCTGTGTATTACTGTAGTGAGGAAATGTGTCACTGTGGATTTCCTGATGCAGAATATTGACGGCTCTGCTGCGTTATGCACATAAGCTCCAGAAACACACTTCCATACTCTGCACACAAGACTGTCATTTCTGTAAAATGATTCCTTCCTAATAAGTCAGAAATCCTCTAAATGCACATACCACACGACGCCGGTCTCCCAGGGCCGCCCCCTAATCAGCTCAGTTCTTTGGGTGTTTGCCAGTAAACGTCATGCTTCCGTGAGATCAGCCAGGGCACCTCAGCGAGCAAGACTAACCTGCAGCGATCTTGCCTTATGGTAATAACCGAAGGTGCATTCGCAGGCCTGTCAGGACATGCCTCTGTGACATGGTGGGGGAATACACTGCTGAATTCACAGCAGAACAAGAGGAGGGCTCTATGGGATCAGCCCCCCTCCCCCAATTCGGGAAGGGATGATGGTAGGTGACCATAAAGGGGTACACGCTGTAAACACACCATGCAAACTGCAGGCCCAGGGAGCCCACTGCTGATCTGAGGTCAGTCTGAAAGGGTTTCGGTCACAGGCCCCTGGAGTCGGGTTCAGAATGGTGCCAGATCTGTGCACCGGCCTTAACGCATATGTGCAAATGTATTGCAGCCCCCAGGTAAGTGAAGGACTGCTGTCCACAGCTGAAGCTGTCCTGATATGAACACACTCTCCAAACAACACACATCTCTCTCCTTCGCTCTCTATTTCTATCACATGCACACGCACACGCGCACGCGCACACACACACACGCACACGCACACGCGCACGCGCACACACACACACACACACACACACTTATAAAGAGGGATCCACTCAGGAAATCAAAAAAAACCCCAAGCACAAAACACGGCATGCTGGTCCGCTGTACAAACTTACTATCGACAGTGACAATAACCATGTTTGTAGGATGGGGTTAATCAGAGGCTTGAAACGCCCAATGGCCACTGTAGCAGTAGCAGACTAATTGACAGTTTACCCTATCCCCCCATTCTCCAGCTATCAGACAGCTCATGTCCCTCTCGGTTCCATCACCCATGCTGCTATGAACCTGCGTGATTGTGCCAGAACCAGAAGTCCCAGATTGGGGCAGAACTCCAACAATTTGGCAAAAATCTCCACTCAGATATGAAGTTCAGCAGGCTAACAGGCGGTGGGACAGGCCTCTGGCATAGGAGCAGGAGCACAGCACTGAGTGTATGCAGAGAAAGCAGCCACAACACCCTGCAGCCCAGTTACATGCACTTAATCTACAATCTGGCTTCAGTGCTGCCCGAAACATCAGTAAAAGCCAAGTGGTAATAATGGGGAAGCAGCAGGTTGGAGTCTGGCTATGAAATAGCTAAACCGCTTGCTTTTTCTTTTTTTTTTTAAATCAATGTCATAGGTGTACACAATTTGCTAAACGAAAGCCATTTTATTGCTGAGATACATACTTGCTTCCCCCGATAAAGCTGCTCTTGGAAAGAAAAAAAAAAGGATGAAAATGAAATGTTTTCCTCTAAGGCACGACCAGTTAGTGCGAGTGACCCGAGAACAGATTGGAATGCAGACTGCTGCCTTTCAGCTGGAGAATACCGATAATGGAAATGGAAAGATCTGCTTTCAAAGTCCATCCCAGCGACTGCGAGCCGTTCGTTTTAGCTGAAACCGTCTGCGGAGAGCAACAGACTCCACGCAAACGTCAGTCAAACAGGAGGAAAAGCTAACAATCCAGGTGTCAGATGCTAGACATACGGCGAAAAACAATCCAGAATAGAGCTTGTCATTTATTCCTGTTTTTGTTTTATCTTAACAGCTAGTGCTTCTCAGGTTAGTGTGTCGATCGTACTGCTATCCCAGCATGCCTTGCTGCTAGTCCATATCAGTTGGCAGTCGCTGCTACGTCTTCCTGCCAGTTTTGTCCTGCGGTGCCGCAGGTCTCTGCGGAGCGCTGCCCACCTGACCCTGCCTCAGCTGCTGGTGCGCTGGGCTGTCCTGGGGCAGGGAGCTTGCCCGCTCTTGCGACCCCTCGGGGGTCTGGGCAGAGGTCCTGCTAGGCGTGAGCCTCCCTCGATCTCCGATGGGCTCCACGAGACTCGGAGAGGAGGCAGCCTGCTTGGGAGGGGATACCCCGGGCCGACGTGAGATCTGAGGGCTGGCCTGTCTGGGGGGCGTGCCCGACGGCGCCGTTTCCTGCTCCCTGCAGGGGGGCTGAAGAGGATTCGCTGGCCGCAGGTCACGGGCCCTGTCGAAGGCCTCCCTGGCAGCGGGGAGACTGAGCCTGACCGGCCCCAGAACGCTTTTAGCCACGGTGGCCAGCTGGGACACGACCTTGTCAACCCCGCTTTCGGCTAGTGGAGCGGCGGCGGCAGCAATGGCCGCAACGTGCAAGGCCTGCCGCCGATTCTCCGCTTCCTTCTTCTCCTTACTCGTCCCTGTGACAGGTGCAGGGGGGTCCCTGGAGTCCGCCACCGGGGTACAGGACTGAGGCTTGGGCGACAGAAGCCCCTTTGGGGCAATATCGTTTGGCTTGGCTTCAGCAGCAGGGCAGCTGGTCCTCCGGTCCTGAGGGGGCACTGTTGAGATAGAAGCCGGCTTCTCAGGGCTCTCCTTAGTGATAGGGATGAAAGCGCTGCCGGGGGTGGGAAACGGGCCTGGCAGCTTGTTCACGGGCCCCTGGGGAAGTGAGCTGACCTTGGGGGTGGACACGGCCTCCGGCGCCACTGCCGCCACCGGGCCACTGTCTGGGACGACCGGGACCAGGGTCTGCTCTGCAGCTACACCCTCGGCCCGAGTCTGGGGCAGTTTCCCCGGCTGAAGGGGGGCTGCAGAAGCTGGAGTAGGGATTGGAACGGACAAGCTCGGGGCCACTGCGGGGACCGCCTTAACAGAAGGAGCACCCATCACAGTTGCGGGCCTGAGCACAGAGGCCGGGGGCACGAAGGGCACCTCCTCCTTGCTCCTGTGCCGACCATCCCCCCAGCTGCCCAGCCGGCGGCCGTCCTGGCTGTCCTCAGAGCCCTCATCCGTCTCATCCTCAGAGGAGTCCACCTCGTGTATGGCATCCTGCTTCTGCAATGACTCCCGCCGGCCTGCGCGGTCCTGCCGAATGGCCGACAGCTTGTCCTTTAGCTTGCTCTTCCCGGGCGTTAGGCCCAGAGAGGCAGCCCCCAAATCAGGGACCTCCTGCCGGCCAGGCTTCCGGGACGGGGAGGGCTTCTGCAGGCTGCCCTTCTCGGCAGGGGCCGCCCTGCCCCCCAGGAGGGTCTCGCTGGCCGATTCCTGCAGGCTCTGCAGGCTGGGGTCCCGCTGCAGCATCTCCTTCTTGAAGTCAGAGTGTGAGACATCCAGACTGTGCTTGCGGGAGGCTGCAGGCAGCTTCTTGTCGGCGGCAGAGGAGGGAGAGGGCGAGGAGGAGGAGGAGGACAGGGAGGCAGCCAGCTTCTCCGCTGACTGCACACGCTTCAGCAGCGGCGAACGTGGCGGCTCGGCGCTCTTGGGCCGTGAGATCTGGCGCACCAGGGGCGGTGAGGAGTGCAGCTTCACTGGGAAGGAGGGGCCCAGGGTGTGGCCAGCCAGGGGGGAGGGCGAGCGCTGGGGGGAGGTGCTCTGTGGCGTCGGTGAGGGCGTGCGCGCCAGCGGTGACAGCGGGATGTTGCCGGCCGATTTGCGGCGGGGCGAGCGGTACTGCCTCTGCAGCTTGGGGCCCAGGCCATGCAGGGAGCTGGGCCGGATATGGCCAGAGCTGGCTGGGGAGTTGGGGACGCTGGAGCTGGGGGAGCTGCTCTGCGACGACGTGCCCCCTACTGGACAGGAAGAGGAAGCAAAATGCCACACACAATCAGTACTGAATTGCCTCACTCAGAAAAGTTACAAAATTACTTACAAACCTAAACAAAACTAACAGCAAATTTTTGTAGCATTGTAACATCGCATGACACACTGAAGGGGCCTGTGCTCTGGGGGGGGGGGACCTACCAGAGTGTGCAGAGTCCGGCGTTGAGCGGTAGCCCTGCGTGGGCGAACGGGGGGACAGGTTGTGTGTGGGGGAGCCGGGGACACTCTCCCCGGACGACAGTGAGCGGTTCAGGGAGGACAGGCTGCGGCTGGTGTGTAGGAGCGAGGCCTGCTTGGTGATACGGCGGAACAGCGACGTCCGCTTCTTGGTGCTGAAACATATCACACATCCGAGGTCACATGACGGACTAGCAGCTCACTGTGGCTCACAATGCCTAAGAGTGGGAGGATCACCTGTCCTGGCTCTCCTTAGTCTTAGTCTTCTTGTTGCGGCGTGCCATCTTGGCTTTACGGTTGGCCTTGCGGGCAGGGCCCACCTTAATGGAGGTGTTCTCGAAGGGCGTGGCAGAGATGGAGACCTTGTTGCCACTCTGGCAGTGCGAGGGAAAGAAGATGGAGGATTGAGCCAGGATGCTCAGAGCGTTATCAAGGACAGAAAACGGAGTGTGAGCCTGTGCTCGTACCTTAAGGATGAGCTCCACCACCTCGGTGTGCACCAGGCCGTGCACGGGCTCCCCGTTGACGTGTGTGATGAGATCCCGCTCCCTCAGGCCGGCCTCGTGGGCGGGACCACCGTCCTCCACATGCTGACACCCCAAGAGGGCAGGAGGAGATACTGTGAGATTGGATCCCCTCACCAGTGCAGACAGCTCGAAACTAAATAACTACTTTGTCTTTAGTCTAAAATTGTACTTTTTATGATCTGAAATGTTTAATTTTAAAATTTAAAGTAACATTCAACGAAACATCTTTAAAAAAATTATGCGCAGGGTACCGTAAAGAGCATTAGCATCGCATGGGGATAAATCCGTGGGTATGACCGGCTTGGGCTGGGGAAGACAAAGGGACCAAAGCCTCCCCAGCATTGACAGGGCACTATTTAATCTCCCACAAATATTATCTCTAGCAAACCATAACCACTTATGATGCATAGGAATTAGTGTAAAGCTGTCAGATTTAAAACAGGAGGGAGACGAGTTGGCAGCATGGGTAGAGAAGAGGTCAGAGGTGGGCACAGTGGTGCTAATGCAGAAAAATAAGTCCTATGTCTGTACTGAGCCTGAAAATCTAGCTTTCCACCAAATTAAGCCTATGAAGATGGTTGGGGCCACAGTGACCCTGTTCCATATCGCCAAAGTACACCCTCAACTAAAGAAATCATCTCAAGGGGAAACCGACAGACTCTCAGAGGAGTCGTTGTCATCTCACAGGGTAACTGACACTCACGGTAGAGCTGTCTTCTAGCAAGGTAAAGCTGGTCATACACCACAAACAAAATTAAGAGGATCAACGTCGTTCTGCTAATACAACGTTGTAATATGTGGAATCACCGCAGTGATCACCATTTCCGCGCGCCGACTCTGCAAGGCCTCCGAGGCAACTTCTTCATTTGTTCTGATCCCACCCACTGTCCACAACTGGCTGACATAAAATGGGGTTGGTCAGCAGGACTAATTATACAGTTACAGATATGCTTCACACTGCACTACACTAGATAAAATTAATGTGTATTTGTGTATTTCTGTTAAATGGCAGAACCATGTAATGTGTGCCGTGGAATGTGTGTCGTTAGCGTGTAACTGAGTGCAGTTTAAATTGTTGGCTTCCCAGTCTGTGCCACTTGAGTATTAAAGAAGTAGTAGTTAATAAACAGAGCAATTTCCATATTAAGAGCCATCATCTCCTTTATTAAAATGACTTGTGCAATCAGCACAATACACTTATTTGCGCTCTGTATGTGGGTCTGCTACATGGAAGATATTCTGCGCCCTCTAGGGTTGTGGTGTGATTTAGAATGAACAAGGTGGCAGCAGCATTTTATGTACGCAACACATTGTTCTCACCGACGTGTTCGATTTCGTTTTGTCCGGACATAGTTTGAAATATAGAGCCACCTTAACTTACACAGACTCACAGAGAAGCGGCTGTCTTCACGCAGGGTAACTGACCCTCACTTCTAGAGCAGTCTTGGACAGAGCAAAAATGTGGACCGGCTGTGGGTCCCCGAGGACCAGATTGGGAAACACTGTTCTAGGGACATCTGCTCAGACCGGTTCTGCAGCAGATGCTGCAGCATGCCCTTGAGCCCTCTTTGCACTCACCCAGACCATGTGGTGCACGGTGTAGATGTCTGTGTCGCCCATGTAGACGCGGATGGCGCGCAGGGTGAAGCCGTACTTCTTGCCAGAGCGGTGGATGACGATGGCGGGCTTGGTGTTGCACACGGCAGGAGAGAGGTCGCGGCTGGGGGAGGAGTCCCTCGATGAGGGGTTGGAGGAGAGTGAGCGTGGCGACATGGGGCTGGCCAATGGAGAGGCGACGTGGTGCTCTGTTGGTGGGGCAAATGGAAACCAGGTCACGTTAAATGTTGTGTATCCAAGGCCAGTTCAGACAAACCACAGCCATACTGTGGTAACTAGCATCACCATTTACAGCATGTGGAGTCCCAGAGTCAATCCCCCCGCCCCACTACAAGGTAAATACTGCTTTACAGCAGCCTGCTGTGTTTTCAAGAAAAACACCACAGCTGATCTGTAATGACAGGGAAGCTCAGGCAGAGGCTGCAGGACCAGCTGCTTCAGCTTTTCTCAGGAGCCACTTAAATGCAGTTAAATCTGGGTAAACGCCGTTCACAGAGAGGTCCATGGGCCAGCGGCCGATTCCCCGCCCCTACACACCTGCGGGGATGAGCAGCGAGAGCGTGGTGGCCGAGGCCGACTTGATGACCTTGTTGAGGGGACGGGAGGTGTGCTTCTCCAGGGACTCTCCCGACAGCAGCCGGTGGCGGGCACGGCGGGCTGCCAGGTCGCTGATGGCCCTGGGGGTGGAGCTGTCCACCCCCTCGGCGGAGGGGCCACGTGGAGACGACCGGTCCCACACGTCGCTTGAGCCGCCCGCTGTGACAGAGGGAGGTGGATTCAACAAGGCTCTACTGTACCCACGTACAGAGTCTAGGGTCATGGTAACTCCTGCTACATTCCTCGTTTAGCAACTTCCACAGTTAACGACTCTTTGCAGACATGACGGTAATAAATTCTTTCTGACCAATATGCGTGTTCATGACCGAATTTCGTACGCCCAGGGCACAGTGTGAAAGATCTTTGAAGTGGAATGTAGCAAATGTTAAAAATGTCCACATAATGAACGATAAAAGATACTGAGCAGGAAAGGCGGAGTAAAGCCATGAGCAGAAGCTACCGAGATTTTCACTTAATGACCTAGTCGATAAATGAGGAGAGGGTGTATTCCTGAGGCTCGCAGGTTAAGGCTGGAGTTGTAAGTACTGTGGGCAGGGCACTGAAAGCCCTGGAGTTACGGAGCAGTACTGGAAGCCGGGCTTTGCGAGGTGACCGAAGCAGGACTCACGGGTGAGAGTGGCCCTGCTCAGCTGGCTGCCGGTGGAGCCCGGGGTGGTGGGAGACTCATCCAGCTTCAGCTCCCTCTCCAGGGGCAGCTCCGGGATGGACAGGGGCAGCTCCTCGCCCCGTGGCCCGCGGGCCGGGGTCTGCGGCAGCAGCGAGGGGCTCCTGCGGGCACCGGCAGTCTCGTCCTCGGTGGAGATCGCGAAGCGGGGCATCTCAATGATGGCCGAACAGCAGCGCCGGCGCACCGTCAGAGGAGGGCTGGAGTCACTCTCCGTATGCGAGGACTCCGACACAGACAGCCGCTTCCGCAGGCTGCAACACATGTGCGCACATACTGTGAATAGTGTTGGGCGGAATACGTTGTTTTTTTATGTGTTATGACATGAATTTTCCACATAGCGCGATACCGGTTTAAATAGCCTACACAACGTTCGGAAAGTGGAGCAGCTGGAAACTGTTTAGGAGGGGACCTTCTTCACTGCTGCACCGCTAAAAATGTACCGCGAAAGATCAGAAACGAAAGATATAGCTGACGCTGGAGATGAAAATAATGAGACACTGGGGTTGTCAAAAAAAAATCGATTCTCAGATAGTAATCGATATTAAAAATTACCTGATTAGATACTCATTTTCACCATTATTGATACCAACAGTGGGGTTTTCGCCTCATTCGCCACACTTCACAAAGCACCACTACAAAAAAACCACTACCGTTGTATACCATGAAACCGATCTAACTTGTATACAAGTGGTATAAATTTTTGGTCAGACCACCCAGCTCTAACTGTGAGTAAGCAGTACTTTGGTATAACAGAACACTGGACTCTGGGCTTAGACTGGAGTCTTATTTTAGTGCATCAATCACAGCTTTATATTTCATACAATAGTTGCAGATTATGGGGTTTTGCGTATAAAAACTGCTCACTGACTTACAGCACATGACTAGACAACATGGTGTTACTGTTCAGACCAAACAGTCCAGTCACAACTTAATCTACCAGAGTCTACTCACGAATAAAATACACCTACTGCTGTTTACAGCAGAATTACAGAAGAGATCATAATCACCATGAATCAGCCCATTATTTTGTGTCTGGCTGCAAATGCCCCTCCCCCAATCTGTCTGTCAGGCAGGCAGAGTTACAGCCAAACTCCACAGCACGAGCGGCAGACCCAATCTGACGGATGAACGTCACGCTCACATTTCTGGGGATCCGACCATCCAGCTGCGGTCACGTGACTTGAGGCCACCCAGGCTGTCGAATCGGTCCCCGCCCTCCTCGCTCAGGCTGCGTTTGGTGGGGGGAGGAGTCCTCTTCTCCTCGTGGAGCGAGAGGCGCTCCATGCTGCTGTACACCTGAAGGACAGCAGAAGAGGGGTACAGTTCAGCCCTGGGGATGAGGGGACACCTAAAAGCAGAACAGGAACCAGGGCCAGAATGGCACTGGGCTGAGCAGGTCAGGCCATGTTCAGCACCCTGGTCTCCAGCTGCTTTAAACACACAAGAGTTTGGTCGCTGCTGTTTGCTGAGGCTAGTGGAGGGTCGAGTCAGGCCAGAGAACGGTAAAGCTCACCTTGCTAAAGCGAGGAGAACAAGAGGAGAACTGGCGGATCTCCAGGTGCTCGTCGTCATTGGTGTCGTCCTCCTCCTCGGAGTCCACATGGTGATACCGGTCGGACCGGGCTGCAGGAGACAGAGAAAAAGGCTCTGAATCGACCTGCCATGCAGACGTGAATACCACCTACGGGTTATTGGCTCAGGGTCCGTTTAGCATGGTGAATGTTAAGTTTTCACCTTTCGCACGTACATAAGCTGCAGGTCATTAACCACACAGCCCCCTCCCCCTGGGTTAAACGCCACGGTGGCTCACTGTCAAAGTAGCTGGTATCGTCCTCCGATTCCAACTGGGGGATGAACTCAGCCTTCTGCCTCAGAAGGCTGTTCCAGTCCAGGTCCGAGAAGAAGCGGTGCTGCTTCACCTCGAAGGCTCCACCTGCCGAGAGCACAGATGGAGGAGACATTTACAAAGAAAGGTCACCAGGGGAGGGGGGGGTGTGTGGAGATGAAGGACCCCGGAGCCCCACTCTACCTGTCCCCAGACGCTCCAAGGGATTCTGATGCAGCAGCTTGGAGATGAGGTCCTGGGCATCTGATGGCAAGGCCTCTTCCTCCTCTGGCCAGATGATCTCATCTAGGGGACAGGTACATCTACGTTTATGCAGAGCTCGTATGAGCCATGCCAGTCACTGACGATCCTGAAGGTTCCCTTTGCTCGGTACTGACCGCTGATGACCTGTCCGAAGAGCTCCTCGGGCGTGTCCCCGAAGAAGGGAGCGCAGCCCACCAGGAACTCATAGAGGATCACACCCATGGCCCACCAATCCACCGGCTTGCCGTAGCCCTGTCGGAGGATCACTTCCGGGGCGATGTACTCGGGGGTGCCACACACCTGCGGGCAGACGACGTGTTAGGGAGGACTCTGCTCTGACGGCACAGGATACTCCAGAACTGGGCTGGGGAAGGGCGGCCTCACCTGCTTGTCCAGAAACTCACGAGCGTCCTTCTCTATGTGCCCCTCGTACAGGTTGGTGGTGAGACTCATGAGGCCGATCTTGGACAGCCCAAAATCGGTCAGCTTGATGTGTCCCAGCGAGGTAATCAGGAGACTGTGGAGCACAATCCGGAAGACAGAGCTTATCGACACTATTCTACAAAAGCTATTCAGCCAATCGCAAAAGGCGGCTTCACCTGACAGGCCGTGATCACAAAGTCCTCACATAATTAAGGAATGCAGACCATTTCTCAGGAAGCTGTGAAAGCTCAGTAACGGTTAACAATCTGAACACATATGATTGCTTAAAGAAGAATATACTGAATGTGAGTTTAACTCTTACTGGTTCTCTCTCCCAATCTGCTCATTTTAGTGTAGTCAGACAGCCAGACAAAATACGCAAACAGCTTTTTATTTACATACTGTTTCTTAGATCGGAATATGTCTAACTTGCAGGATATTTTTTTTTGACAATGTGTGTGGTGTTCTGACATTTTTCCACAGTCAACCGTTAAACCAATCACAGGGTTTTTGGATAAGCAGCAGACGTCCTATGGGAAGCTGAGCTAGGCCTGCGTCAAAGAAAGGACCCAGGCAGATAGCGCGGTGAGGGACCCTGTCGCTGCTCACTTGTCGGGCTTTAGGTCTCTGTGCACGATCCCATAGTTGTGCAGGTACTCCAGCGCTAGGACCGTCTCGGCGAAGTACATCCTGGCCATGTCTACGGGGAGGGCCCCAATGTTCTTAAGCAGCGTAGCACAGTCTCCCCCTGTAGGACAGCCAGATCAAGGAGGTCACCCTTGGCCCACATCTGTATCCCTTACACAACCCAAAAAGGCTCTTTTCATAAATCCAGTGTAATCCAGAATCCGGATCAACAGTGCATGAAGGGGTCAAGACACACCTTCGACATACTCCATCACCATGCAGAGGTGCCGGCGTGTCTCGAAGGAGCAGAACATGCTGACCACGAAGGGGTTCTCAGCGAAGGTCAGGATGTCCCGCTCCACGAAGGCCTGCTGGATCTGATTCCTCAGAATCAGGTTCTGCTTGTTGATCTTCTTCATAGCAAAGCGTTGGCGTGTCTCTTTGTGCCGCACCAAGAAGACAGCCCTGAAGAGCGACAAGGGAAGAGAAAACTGAAGGGTAGCTCAGCGCTAGAGGCCTTGGCATCCACAGACTGCTATAACAAGGAAATAACAGTCCACTTTATCAGTAAAAAGGATCCTTTACCCATATGCCCCGTTGCTGATGAGCTTAATGTTCTCAAAGTCTTCTTCACATGGGGTCTTCATCTTGGACTGCGGCTGTACCACCGCACCACGATTCTGGGAGGCAGCCGGGGTAGAGGAAAGGCAAATGAGAACCAAGACCACCAGCCAGAGATACACGGCCTAAGCGCACGTGACTCACCTCCGTGGAGTCGTCCGTCTCAGGAGTGTCTGGGTTGCCACTGTCATAGCTGCTCAGCTGGGCCATTTCTGCAGGAATTAAGGGAAAAAAGGAGAGGCTGGGTGGAAAGGATCGATGGCAATGGTATTTACGGTATCTCAGTGGAGAAGATGACTGACAAGCAGTTATTCATCTGTGTTTAGTTTTAGAGCCTGAGATGTAAAATACCTCCTGAATAATGCAGTTTAGCCTTGAACATCTGCCAGGCTTTTGTGCATCCCTGATGGTTTAAGGTGTTGTGATTTCCAGTGCGCCAACTACACTGTGATCATTTTAATTAGTAAATGTATATGAATCTGGAAGATTTGTACCTAAAAATAATCCCAATACAGGAAGCAGAGCATTTTCAAATATACTCAACGCAGATGCGGAAGATCGATCTAAGATAACTTATTACGACTTAGTCGCTCAAAATAAGCCCCTAATGAACCATAAACGGCAGTGAGATGCAAGGCCAGCAAAGCATAGAGTGCCTCAGCAGTGCAATGGCAGACTCTCACCCTCCAGGGGATCCCTGGTGAGGCCCAGCTGGCTGATGATGTAGCGGGGGATGTCTGACTTGATGCCCTGGCCCTCTTTGGCATGGCCTTCAGCAGCTTCCAGCAGGTGGTAAAACTCCTCTGGGTCAAACTCCTGAAGGATAGCGAGAGGGTATATATTTAACAGAGATGTGGTAGCACCTAACGGCGAAGCAGCTAGGATGCAGCAAAAGCTAGTATTAAGGCCCCATATCAGGGCCAGACGTGGTAATTCATCAGCCTTGGGCTCAGATCACGGCAAGATGACGCCTTTTTAATGCAGCCCAGACAGAGGCAAGCAGCCAGCCTCATTCCTCTGCATGTGCCGCTTCTGCCCTGTTGTTATGGGGGGGGGGGCGGGGGTCATAGCACTCTAGGGACGAGGTTTATGGGTAAATGAAACTACAAACGCAGGACCCAGAATCCCCTGAAGACCACAAGACAAGAGCGGAGAGATACAGGTTTGGCAAAGACAGAAGGGATGCTGAAGGGCCATGTCTCAGGAAAACAGATGCTATAGTTCAGCCGTAATACAGTTACAGCTCTTCATACATTGAACACCCTGAAATATTATTATAATATTATGTTATATTATTAAGGATGCAAAGTCGTATCCTACTGACTGGAAAAAAAAAAATCACAGTATTACTGTAAGCAAAATGTTCTATGAAGACATAATTAATAAATAACAATAATGAATGATACCCTTGCTTAATGCAGGAAAGAGGAATTTGGATGAAAGAAAGAAATGGATATTTACCACCAGACATGGAAACAATACCCCCCCCCCCCACCTCCGACGGATCAGCCCTCACCAAACACTCCAGTAGGCGTGCAGGCCGGGCGATGATGATCATCAAATTCTTCACCAGCTGGGTGACGAAGGTCACTTCCGCACTTTCTGATCGCTCGTGAGCCTGTTCGGAGGGGGTTTCAGCGTTAAGCAGTCATCGCTACGTGGCACGGTGCCTTAGCGTCCAACAGGAGCACAGGACAGCCAAGGACTATACATCACATAGTTGTTTTAATACATGTTGAGGTTCCATGGTGTTGATAAATCTTTAGAAGATGCCTAGCTTATGTTGATCCAACAAGAAGCCTTGTTGCTGTGACTACAGCATCACCAGGGATGTAAGCCAAATAAAGAGCTGTGTAAACACACGGCCGTGTGAAAAACGCATCAGCTCCACCAGTGGACAAATGATGCCTGCAGAAGCCAGACGTGTTAATAGAAACATCGGTGAGTGACGGCAACGCCTTGGGGTCCTAAACCAGCCCTTGAATAATTGATAGGGGTAATGAGACCCACAGAGAAGCCAAAGCAGGGAGACCCCGCTCCTCTGTGAGTAATAGCCGGCTGCGGGACACTCCCGTCCGTGGATAATTGAGTGGTTTCCACCCGTCGCACCTGCTGAGTCGGTATTCTGCGGCAGGAACGTGCTAGAACTTTGGGGTGGCGTTGGCAGGGTTACGTAGAAGAGATAAGAGGGACCCAGGAGGGTGACACTCATACGCTTAGCAGCATGTTTTAGCAATGGACACGTCAGATAAAGGAGACGGTCATTGATACAGGGTCAGCTGAGGCTGCTAAAATGAGCAATGGGTCAGCAGACAATGGACAAGAGACCCACTTGAACTTGGAGAACATCAGCATGTTAACAATGGACCATAAAAAAATGCAAATAAAAAAATTAAAATCTTGTTGGTCACCTGGGGCTTGTTTCACAAAGCGGGATTTTTTGCTTAGCCAGACTTGTCAAATTTAAGGTAGTCCGGGCTTAATGAAAGTGAACTAAGATTAAGTCCATTTAAACTGGGGTACCTAAAAACCAACAAGTTATCGAGCTAAGCAAGAAATCCTGATTCGTGAAACAGGACCCAGGTCTTTAAAGTCAGAATAGACAGAAAAAACTTTAAACAATCAAACGAGAATCTGAAGGACATGCAACCTCTAGGTTGGCCTTTCCCATTACCGTACACAACTGACAGTCCCAGAACGATGTTACCTGATCATGTCCAAAGAACCACGAGGACCCGTGAACACCTGGGCTGGTTACCGTGGTAATAAAAGAAAACAACTCAACTGCTTGAGCATCCACTGCCACAGCGCGGCACCTGCAACTGTCCAGCGCCAACCGCAAAACCTCCTCTTCCTCCACCTTCCTCTGCCAGGAGAGGCGGGACATCTTCCAGCGGGCCACGTCAGGCAGCCTCTGGATCCACACCGCGTTTTATAACGCCGGCGGCCGAAACGCGACGGCCAATTAGCAGGCCACAGGTGATGTCACCGCCGCCTTACGACCTCACCGTGCTTTCGCTGCATGCCAGACGGCGTGCTGTGCGGCCAAACTGGGGCTCTGAGCACACGGAGGGTGCAGATGCTAGGAGAGCATCTGAGCGACCAATCAGCCAATCAGCGAGTGCGCTGTTCCCCCCGCCCCCGTCCCCCCACCCAACACGGCCCCCACCACTCCCTCCAGGTCGTCACAAAAAACATCCGTCACTGGCGCGGGGCACTGGGGCGTGAAATTAAAATCAGGACAACCCCCCCCCCCCCACCTTAGCTGATACAAGGTCCAGGGACCTGAAGCTGGATGATCTGATCAGCAAGCTGGGTGTCATGGAGCAAAAGGTGTCGCTTCCCAGAGATGGGAGGCTAACATCCAGCAGCACAATTCCCTCCCTCCACCCCTACTGCACCAACCGGGGCACGAAAAGCCCCTTCTCATCAGCAATCAAATAATACAAAACACATCAAGTGTCATTTAATTCCAAAGGCTTTAAACACAAGTGAATTTTACAGGTTAAATCATTAAATATAAATATGACTGGGACGTCAGAACCTATAGCATAGCTTAACATACCAAAATAAAACACAAACAAATGAAGAAAAGTAAACAAAAAGTAAAACAAAAAAAAAATAAGCAAACTTTCACACTCACATCCTGCAGCAGCTTCTCCAGGTTCTCCTGCAGCTCGTAGAAGTAGCGGGAGGTGATGAGGCCCTCGCGGGACTTGTCCAGGCAGTCTCGCGTCAGCTCTATCACCTGGTGGTGAATGAAGCTCAACACGCCATCGGCCAGGGGCTCCACCTTTCCCGGGGCGGAAGATGATAGGAAATCCGCCAGGCGCTCCTCCATCTGAGCGGTGGCCTGTGGAGCAGAGGCAGACAGTGTTGGATCAACGATGGCCAGCTCTATGAAGCCTACTGGTTGTGAAGTACGCTTTGCAAACTTCACTGCACTGGATGCAACACTCCTATAAATCCACCACCCTGGACCTTGCTCTTTTAAAGTGTGCTGTAAGAAGCTGTGTGGTTCTTTAATGATACGAGAGAGCAGTACCATGGCTGGGCTCACCTTGGGGAACCGCTCCTTGTACACATGGTTCATCATGACGATCTCATGGTCAAAGGAGATGGGCGACCGGCCAGGACTGTAACAGGGCACAGACAGGTCAGTGAGCACCGAGAGAACCACCGCATGTCTGCCAGCTGCCAGGCGACAGACCGGACCACAGCTCAGAGATGACCTGCAACCCCAGAGCTCCTCTACTGTGAGGGCAGGTTTCCACCAGATAAGAGCATATGAAACCCGTGACCTAAGGAAGATCATTCACTGTTCAGTTACACGCAACCACAAGGGACCTGGAAGCTGGGGACTTTCTCCTAGTCAGACTAAGACCTTTGGAGAGCAGCTGGTGGCTGGGGACTCAGGAGGCTAGGAGAACAGGTCTGTCTTGGCGAGGTGAGACTTCAGCTCCTGCTTTACACAACTATGCATCAGAGTATGAATGTAAGGTGTGAACAAGCCTGAGCCATTTCTCACATCGAGCAGCCAGAACAAAGAACAATAGCGCGCGGCTATAAAACCGCAGGACGGGCCTTTCCGTGATCTGGGGAGAATGATGAACCGCATTTGCTGCGTGACTCACACCGCACACGACCGCCACATGAGGTAATGCATTAGGTCATCGCAAACAGCCCGCCAAAGCAATTACCCGCTTAATTGATTGAGGAAAGACTATGTCAACTTTGCTGGTCCCATGCGTATCCATGGAGACGGACCACGGCTCGTCATCCAAGGCTAAAGTGATCTTAATGCAGAATGACAGGAGGCTGGGTGCAGAAAAAACAGGAGGCGTTCTGTTCTCAATTCAATTACCAAACTAACTGCTTGTGCACAAACAGTGATGCTAACAGGGATGCAAAGGAATGTTATGTTAGGGTTTATTTTTTTGTGTCTGGACGTGCTACAAAGAGTGGTTTTATTCATTATATACATAAATAATTTTACACATGCATACATTCATAATAAAATATTAAAAATGAAATATACTGCAAGTACCTGAACAACAGCTAGAAAATCTGTCACAACATTCACAAACATATTTCTCGACCAGAACCCCAGTTTATTTAAATAAAATCTCCCAATCCTGTTCACAGTGCAGGTGGGATCAGCAAAGGAAAAGCTTAGTCTGAGTAAATATTCTGCCTGTGATCGCTCACTAGGGGAGTGAGCACGTGTGCAACACAGAAGCCAACAACAAACAAACACCACAATAACTAGCTAAGAGAATAAAAACAAGTGAATCTAGGAGATGCCACTTTGGCTGGCTGCCCAGCGAATACCAGGGCGATCTTTCACGTGCCATTCGAACCTCCACCGTAGAAGGTGGACACCTGGGGAAATTACAGGCCTAATTGACCACAACAAGGAAGCTAGCTGGCATGGAGGTCTCATCCCAGGCCTTTCCTAGGAGCAGCAGAATGGACAATTAACTTTGGGAGCAGACCCCAAAGCAGCTGGTTGGGGGGGGGGGGGGGGGGGGCACAGTGAGGCCTGACAGAGGAACTCATTATCGACAAAGACGGCAATCTGTGTCTCTCCCAGACTGCGAACAGGAAAAGCCTTCAGCCCAGGTGGAAGCCCACACAGACTGTAGGGAAGAAATTTAACTCCCACAACCCACAGATGGGGCTATACAGAAAGAAGCGAAGCAGTACAGAAAACACTGACACACATCGCACCATGGGGAGGGGGGGGGGTCGGGGGGTATGTCTCTCAACAGCGAGACCTTTAAAGGCTGTTAATGAACAGTCACTGCAGGAGGTCGTGACTGCATCCTAGTCGCTCGCTAGAACGGCGTGCCGGCAAAGAGCGGACGACCAAAAGAGCGCGACTCCCAGCCGCGTCCATGACAAGTGATACGAGGGCACAGAAATCACCCTCTCCAACCTTCATTTTCATAATTCTAATTAGTGTTTGGGCTCCCTCTCCTGTCCCCATCTGCTCCCCTCTCACAGGAGAACATGAATAATTCCACTTTGTGATGTTGACTAATGTGCCGCTCTCGGTAAATATGGTAATGTTCTCCTACTTCACCCACTTAATAGTTCTCATTCTCATTCTCAGACCCAAGGCTACTTAGGTTGGACTGGCACCGGCCTCATCCAGACAGCCATGGTGAAAACCATTTACGGTCAACCACTCAAACTTATTTCTATTTAGTTCAAGAAAGGACACGTACCAATAACAATACAACATATTCATTGCTTTTTGCACCAGACATAATCAAGGCAAATGAAAAGCTCTCCACCTTGAAGAGGCAGAGAGGACATTTGTTCAGGCAAAGACTTCTTTTGGAGTTTTGACTGTCAGGCAAAAGTTTAAAGGAATCAAGGGTCATGGTTTGATGAGTGCTCTCTGATGGCACAATGACTGACAAGCTAAAGAAGCAGTCTTTTTTTTTGGTTCTACAGACGTCATTCAAAGGCATCAACTGACCCAAAAGTAAAAAGGTAACCTCTGATGGCTGAGGCCATTCGGCAAGGAAAGGGCAGGTTTAAAAGGTCGAGGGTCACCTGTGGCCATCATGCTTGGCATATGATGACAGAGGCTTGTTGCCTTTATGGATGAGGGATGGAGCCACGACGTCAGAGCGAAGGGTGTGGCCTGATGACTGACACATAGCAGGAGCCTGGTCAGACCTATAGGTGTACAGTCTGTTGTGCAGTGCAGTGATGGGGGTAGAGTCTCGGTAGCAATTGGCAGGCTCTGACCTGAGGCTCCGGGAGCGTGGCCTCAGGGCGGGCGAGCGGCGGCCCTCTTCGTCCGTAACGCTCTCAGAGCTGAAGTGCTTGGTGAGGAAGTGCAGCTCGTCGGCCGTGGGCTGGAAGGGCAGCTGGTGCAGCCTCTCCTGGGATGAACAGGACGACTGTGAGAGGCAGAGAGGGAGGGAGGGATTACACGGGGAGCAGGTGGAGCACTCAGCCCCCCTACACACTACCATGCCACTAAGTCTATGGAGACTGAAACACAGCAACACCGTGGACTCAACAAGCAGATGGAGATACAGGACAGAGGTGCCTAAAAACCCTGCAGTCAATTTCCACCATGACATTTCTTTATTTACAACCATACATTGGTTAAAATTTCCTGCTCCACAAAAATAATCCCAAAACTACAGCTGGAAGTTTTCAGTCTTATTAGAGTCTGGTGCAGGATGCTGATCTCTGGCTTCGAAACATTTTTGTACAGGCGGAAATGACTGAAGGGAGAAGGGAAGAAGCACATAGCTGGCCATGAGACACAGACAGAGAAGGAGGGAGGGGGTGGGGTGGGTGGGGGGGGGGGGATCGAGGGTCAACTCACCGAGACTGTTGAGCTCGGCGTGTTGGTGCCATAGCCAGAGGACGGCAGCGAGGCCAGAGACCACCTTCGACCGTCGGTCCTGAGAGAGAAGCAGGAGGGGAGAGGGCCTCAAGTTCAAAACGGCACGCGGTTGGAATGGTGTACGGAGGATGTGGAAGACCCCAAGGAAGCTGTTTGGCTAGCTAGTGAAGGATTCCGGACTTTACCACAACAAGAAAAGATCTCTCCTTTTATTAAAGGCACAATCACCCTCGGCTTCCGCTATACTCAGGGTACACAAGTGAATGAAGTGAAGTAAAAAAAAAAAAAAAAAAAAAAAAGCCTTTCTTCAATCCTGCTAATTCGTTTGACCAGCCCTGACGTTTCCGTGTTGAGGCCTGTCATATGGGTTTGGCCGCCAGAGGAAACACACAGAAATGACAACACAGCACGGCTGAAAGCATATATCCATGGCAACAGACATCCAACAAGACAGGCAACAACATAAGAACAGCTTTAACAGAATGAAGTGCTTTTAAATCGATACAGTCAGCTGGCTTCATAAGTTAGCCTGGATTCAAGGAGAACCGTTAAAAAAACTGCAAAATTTAAAATTTGGATTAGCAGGGCTGAGGATTAGAGGGCTGACCTTCTTAAAATGCAGTCTATTTCAGCATAATCAATTCAGTTACTCTAGAGAGCTTCAGCAATGTAGAATCTTCACAAGCGGCGTCAAAATCGCATCTGAAGCAGCTCAGTGGAAATGTCAGAGCACTTGAGACACACATGGAATGAGGAGCAGGAAGCCACGTGCCCTGGCACGGCTCTCACTGAGACGCAAGTGTCGTCCAATACGTCCACTGGCACTTTGTGCTATTGCTATTACTGTAAAGACAGGAACGTGAAGAACGCCATCTGACCCTTACAGCTCATTACTGATTAAATGTTCTGTTCACTGCTCTCTATGACAATGCTCCATTGACTCAACTATGTGCCTGTGAAGGAAACCGTGCGGGATGGCAGTTTCACACCCTCGGGGTCAAGGGTGTAAACTGCATGGCGATCAATCAGAAGACTCGTCTCTAAGGTGAGGACTCAGCTCATCTCATGACCACACTGACATGAATTCGGTCAGTTGTGATGGGGGAGGGGGGGCGCATGTTAATGAAGCCAGTCATGCAGATTTGGGGGGGTGGGGAGGTAGGAGGTGAGGATGTGACGAGGTAGAATTTACCTGTCAGCCCTGTGCCCATGACTGTGTGGAAAAAAGGAGAGTGTTAGCACAGCAGACATTTAGTGACCAGCAACACAGAGGCACACAGACAGGCAAGCCACACACTCAGACCAGCTCGATGACCTGCAGATATACCAACGGCCATGAGATGGCGCCAAAACCTCAAACACATTGCATATTGTGTGTCATTGCTACTTGTATTCCGGTAAGCCAGGACAAGCCGTATCTCATTGTAAAAACGCACGAAACACCAAAATCATTTTAATCTATGTGAATTTCTAAAATTCGGAAATCCTTTTAATCTTTCTTCCTTTTAATTACAAATTCACCCTCCATCAAATGCAGTTAGTTGGCAAAGCACCTCCAGTGAAAGATAAAAGGATTTTGTTTTATAATCCTCTGCTGATCATTAACTTGGATTACAGTTAATTACATTTCAAACAAATACTGCAGCCCCAACATGTTTCATGGGAAGGTAAAAAGGATCAGAAGGCTGCCCTCTACTGCTTGCGAGATGTGGGTGCACGAGTTAGGTTGTTCTGGGCAGGTCTGTGTCATGTGACCACAAGCCCGCGATTGGCTGGCTTCTCTCACCTGCGTGCCGGCACAAAGGAGAAATGGGCTGCAGTGTTCGGAGAAAAGTTTCTTGGACTATCCAGGGGACTGGTCCCTGCAAGATGGAGAAAGAGGAGATAGAAGCGAAGAGGATTACAAAAATAATCCCCCCCTCATTCACGTCAAAGAAATAAACCTCCATATTAACATGAGGCCGGAGAAGGAAATGACTGAGAGGTGCACTTGCAAAAACCCACCCTAGTTGTTAAAATCCTCCTGCTTCCACCAAGGTTTGCAGGATCTGAGGTACCTATGAATTCCAGAGGAGCCACTGAGATGCCTTTTGGACAATTTCTTTTGGTTTCCCCAAAATTACCTGAGATTCACAATCTGTGGCCTGTAACGCCACCTTCAAAGTCATCGATTGGTGTATATAAACAAAATACTGCGCCTGGCCTAAGTCAATCTTATTGTGAGACTTACAGAAAAATCCACTGGAAAAACACATGAGGACAGAGGGAGAGTGTTGCCAGGGAAACAGGCATCCCGCATTGGCAATGGGTGCATTTCTGTTGACTAGGGAAACGTGTTACAATGTGGGCAGGCAAGGAGCAGGATGTGACTTGAGTGGCGGTCGTGGGGAGCCTCGGACCGCTCCGCGGACATGCCCGTCCCTTTGTGTTTGCTCTTCTGACATCATTCCCTAACATGACACCGCTGAAGTGCTAAAAGCCCACCATCCCCTCCATTCTTCTGTGCCATACATAATCACGCGTTTAATGTGACAAAGTCGGGACGCGTCACGGTGCCGTAGATGACACGCATCGATCTTAAGGCCATTCTGTTTTAGCCTTCTCAGACAAAAAAAAGAGCCGGCATTAACATCAGCCGTAAGGAGGCATGCAAAAACTAGAGCGGCAGATGGAGGCGGGGCTACAGGCCGAAGCTGATGCCGCATTTTCCCCATGGCTCCGACAGGCCGACTGAATATTCATGAGCCTCTGATGGGCTGTCAGAAAGTAAGGCGTGGCCTCTTGCTCACTCAGCACCGCTACTCGCAGCTTGGCTGGGACGCAGGAAGCGGCAAATGCTGTCAGACAGGCCCGTAAATGAGAGCGAAGATGTTGAAGGGCCATTAAGACAACAGCGCACATCACAGCTATGGGCCAAACTGCCATCCAGGGCTCCCTGCAACTCTTTACTGAGTAAGCAGAGATTATACAAACCGGAGATCAGTCAAACCAGCCACAGAGGTGAGACAAACTGGGAACGGCGGAATAAATTAATACATTAAGCTGCCAGGGGGCTGCTGTAGATGAATAAAAATTAAACAAGTCTACAGCTTCTTAGACAAGTATGCATTAAAATGTCATAACCCCTGCTGCACAGGAGGGGGCAGCACTCCAATAACGTGACATGCAACCTTAATCAGCCAGCTCATCAGATTCATCTGCTGTAGCCTCCCATCAGGTGTCGCACACATCATGCATAATTACATGAAAATGAACAAGCATAACATCCATAAATTAGTTCTTTAAAAACTAATGATAATTTGTTCAAATCTCTTTCCAGGAAGCGTTAAAAGCACTGGATGTACCGCAAAACTAGTGCAAAACTGCCCCAAAAATCGACTGTTGATAAAAAGATTCCTGCATATTTTGAGAAAATTACATTCCTATAAATAGAAAGAAATCTGTTTAACCCAAGTATGTGCGAGCGAATGTAGACCATTCATGATTGAGAAATGCATCACGGTAATGGTGGTAGTTCAGATTATGCCAGTTAATTAAAGTGAAACTTGACTATTTCATAATTAAAAATTAAAAATTGATAATAAATTCATAATAATGACCCGCTCGTGTTCAACAATATGGTCAGCCATCATTTTGAATTGAACAGGAACCACAGATTAAGGTGATGCTCACGGAACATTCCAGGCCCTTCTCCGACGATGCTCATCTGAATTCACTGCACCCACTCAGGTAACCTGCAGCTGAGGTCTGCTAGGCCACCAGGCAGGAAGCGGCCTCCCATTCTTAAAGCGAGGAGCACTGACAGGAAGTCAGTTAGGGAATTTCTCCAGCTACGCAACACACCTTTGACCGAAGCAGACACACGACTCCATCATTTCTGCACATTTTATGTTGAGGATTAAACAAGCTGTATTGACAGCGATTGTCATACCCCTGTGTAAACACACTCATGATGAACAGAAATTTAGGCTGCTGCCCAGCAAGACCCCTCAGACCCAGTGCCCCATTTTGAAATGGGCAGAGATAGGCACAGTGCACTGCAGCCACCAGAGGGAGCAGTAGTTCAGGGTGCCTCTCACAGATTCATTTCTAACTAGATCTAAATAAAAAGATCCAGCTCCTTCCATCCTCATTTAAACTTCATTTCTTGCAGGATATTAAGGGGGAAAAGTCCATATCATTACCAGGGTCGTTAGGAGAAGTGGTCTCATTTACGGAGCATAATGAGATTCTCACCATTTGAGAGAGAGAGCTGGAAGGGGGTCGAGGCCATTTCAGATCCATCACGTACAGCTTACTCACCTCCCAGCGAGATGGAAACTGCAGCCTGAGATGAAGACCCAGCCAGCTGTGACTTGAGGGTCATCATCTCACTGAGGCTTTTCTCTGGTTAGTTTAGAGGCAGGACAACGGCAGTGGCCATGAACTGTCGGCGCGGGAAAATGGCTGACCTCACGATCGCTAAGCTGCCTCTCGCCCCCATCAGCGGGTGAGTGGTCTGCCTTTGGTCGCCGGGCCAAAAGCCCCATTCTAAAAGCTCAGCTGTAATAACAAGTTCCGGCTCTCCTTGACTGGGGGGGGGGAAACATGTCCCTGACTTTGGAAGGGCAGTGAACGCGGCACCAGATGGGCACAAATCACCCCGTCTTTCACCTCAGCCACGTCCTTCAGGCTTATGATAAGCCTTCACGCTGGCCGCTGGGACAATACGTCAGCTAGTCTGCTGTGACGGCGGAGCCACCGAGGCACAGGATGGGGGAATTCAGCCCCCCGCATCAGCAGCGGCTCTGCTACCATTAACGCAGTTGGCCACATATGCATCACGCTCAGTGGAGCCCCTGGCTCACAGGCCTTACAGACCCGTGACACTCGGTGTGCACTCACAGGCCTTACACGCATCCAATAGGATCCCAGTGCTCAGACTGTAACTCCATGGCTGTTTTCACGGTGCAATGACCACAGACGCCTCCCACTGCCCCCCCTCCGCCACCGACTCCCATCCCCCGCCAGAGAGCCCCATCAACACAGGGACAGGTCGTGTGCTGCGTGGGGCAGAAGCTCGCTGACGAAGGGATAATCACCCGGTGGAACTAAACAAAAGAACAGACTCCCAGACATCGCAAACGGGCCCTTAGAGCAGGAAGATTTGCTAATCTGGCATAGATAACGACTGACCAACTGCAATACACACAGTGAGTATAACACGCACATCGGTAGGGTGCGTCATTCACATTCACACATCTATTTGAATTACAATTCATTACTTTGGTGTAGTGTGTGGTCGTAGGTAAATTTCAGTGCATGTTTTCTGTGGAGTGAGATTTACCTCTATTATAAAACCGCCCGTCTGTGACTCTTTAAAATCACAAATGTGAAATAACTGAAACTGAATTAACATGCTACTATGGTTTGACCATTTTAAAAACAAAAAGGAAAGGAACAGTTCAGTCCCAGCCTAGATGACCGGAACCCACACAACCCCAAACACAAACACACGTACAGTAGGTGGCTCAGCAGCCACACAGGGATGATGCCCTGCTGCTTTGGATAGAACACGCTCACGTTTACTCCATCCTGTCCTTTTAAATATCGCCACAGAAGAAAAAAAAGGAACCAAACGCAGGACTGTGAGGTGCTACCAGCTGACAGAGGTGTTGGAAAGCCTGTAAGGTTTCATTACCATCACCCCCCCCCCCCCCCCACAAAAAAAAAAAAAAAAAAAAAACACACCTCAGTAAGCAAGGGAACAAAACAGTCCCCACCTCACACCATCTGAAGCATAGCCAGATAAACACCCCACCCCAGCCAGAAGGGCACAATGCCCAGAATAGGCCCAGTAAACAGCACGTCCTTCGACTAGGACCCCACTGCCAGCCCCAAAACATGAGCAGGATCTTGCCTTTGTGAAAAAATATGAAACATTTCTGCAATGATTAGCAATTAGCCAAAATAAAAAAAATTCACCTTTCCAATAATACTAAGCATTCTCACATATGAGAAATTTAATACCACAGGTTTCAGGCATTTGCAACAGACTAATGATTTTAAAGTGAAGAAAAAGCAACGGTACTACTGCATAAACTAACACGTTTCTCACGAATCAGTGCACATATTTAGACCCATTTCTAATAAAACACCAAATTTCCTGTTCTTCCCTCAAGTGACTGGCCCTATGGAAAAGTAATAAAACATCATCAGCCTAGTTTCAATAACACTAGGAAGCAGTGCTGTATTTTAATACTGAACATAAACTTATCAGACATTTTATTACTGTTGAACAGATGAGACTGGAACTGCTACTGACTTGTAGTTTGGTGTGATTTCAGCTTTAATGACATACTGGACTATTTCAGTATTCCACCCACTTTCTGTGGTTGCAGTAGTGACGTTGAGTGAGATGACGACATGATTTGTGCATTAAACAGTGTTTTTGCAGTATACACCATACAGGACAGTACATAGACATAACATCCTCTTTTCTGGAACCATCCCCATCTCCTGTATGGGCCGCAACATTTATCAGGACTGATGCCAACCTTGAATACGATTTAATCTGTAATGCATCACACAGCCTCTCCTAAGACAGCCTTAAAAGGTAGCCTACTAGCCACAGCTCTCAGTGCTCCCCAATCACCCACATCTTGGTGCCCACGTCCATCCCCTCCCTTACATCATCACTGCTAGATGCCGGCAGCCTGCAGCTACCACTCCTGAGATGCAGGTAATCTGTGTCATCCTGCTTACCTGTGTGGCCATGAAGTGGGGAGTGCGGCCTGGGCAGGGTGGGGGATGTGCTCGACGTCACTATGAGACTCTTCCTGTTGCTTGTCCGGCAGCTGGGGGGTGGAGAAACAGCTTTAGGCAGATGTAAAGGACTAGAATGGGCATGGAGACTCACACAACACCAAACACTGTAAAGACCATGTGAATCACCACAGAGAACCACATTATCAGCACCAAAAGCAGGGCATTTAACCTTCTTCGCAGACTTTCTCGGACCATTTTGTTATTCATTGAAAAACACAAAACCCCTTGTCAGAAACAAAGCACATCTTGCTGCGACTGTGACTTAATGACCTGCGAAGTTCATCAAGACGGATCCTGGCCTGTCACACACACAGTCGCTAAAAACAAAATAAAAATAGGGTAATTTGCAGACACACAAACCCAACTCTGTAAATTCGGAGGGGATTCAGTTCCATTTCTTGCATTGACACAATGTCACAGAATAATTCTCCAGCAGATGCCATGTTCCTCAGAAGCCCTTCATTACAGCACCCCACCATCTCTGTGCCACCCCCACCCCCCAGAAAAGCACTGCTAAATCTAATGCTTCAGCTCATCCTCTGGTAGACAATCCGCAAAACCAACCTCACTCGACCACATAAGCTCCTCCAAAATGACGGGAGGACCGATGCAAGAAAGGCAGCAATACAGGTGCCGCCTCAAGGCACAGATCTCACACACACAGGTATCGGAAACAGCCTGGTCACATGGGTTTGGGTGTGCAGTGGCTCTGTGACCCTCTGTGCGAGCTGGGAGTTACAACGAAGGCGCCGGGGCAGAGCCGAAGCGGCTTCTTTAGTGCTCCTCTCCAGTTCATTACACCAATATCAGTATTCATCTTGTGTATAACAGTAGCAGTACCATGGGGGGTTGTTTGCAGCCGCAGATGTGTGCTTTGGAGGGGGGTCTGACACTGGGGAGGAGGTGACAGTCCTGTCAGGTGCCAAGACCATGCTGTACAGCCCTGGGTGAGTGGGAGCGGCTCCCCCAGACCTGCCAGGTCTCCCACCGGGCGCCAAAGGCTGAATCCACTGCAAGCTGCAGATTTGGCCGATATCATCCAGCAGATATGGGTCTAAAGAAGGAATTTAATCTATCGGCTTTTATTTTCTCCAGTTTATGGCGCAGAGATTGAAACGAAAAAATGAGGCCATTTTCAATTTAGTCAGAGGTTGCAGTAATGACATGATACAGGAAATTGGACAAGACTCACAATGGCAGCAAGACCCCACTCTGCAAAGGCTGGGGGTGGATGCCGGCAGTGTTAATGCGTCAGAACAGCATGCCAAGGTGAGCACAAGAAAAGAAACAACTGTCACAGAGGAGGCTCATTTGCATATTAATGATAAGGGCAGCTGTGTGGAGTCACTTGTGTGAAATGAAAGTTATGCCTTAATTACGGTAATTGAGGGAGAAATTGTGTTTTCCTCACTCTGCATGTGATGCCAAGGAGTGCCATGCTAATTAGCTCTGGTTTCCGCATTTAGCCGAATTTCAGGATCACCCCCAGCTCTGGTATCGGCCCGGGCACTGCAGCTGGGAGGTTCCAACAGCTCAGCGGATTGGCTTCTTCTGGATTCCGACACAGCCCAGAGACACTATATCTCTGGGCAGAGACAGATGCACCAAAACACACAGGAGTAGCCAGGAGCGAGGAGCGAATCTTTCTGCCATAACATCAATCTACCCACAAGCAAAGGAGCCTGGGACACGGCAGGAGAACGTTCCTCCTCCATCTGCCAGCATGAGCTTGGGTTTGGTTCCCTGCTGCTATGTTAAGCTCACAGCAGCAGCCGCTCTCCGCAGTCGTGGGTTTGCTCCACTGTCTCCCTACTCATCTGCACAAATAACAGGCTTAACGACATTAACTCCCATGTTTCCGTGTGTGACGTCTCCCAGAAAACATACAGCAGTCAAGATGGGATAATTATCACTTTTAGTGAGGCGTGTTCAGCATATTGAGGGTTCGAATCCTCCACTGTGGGCGTGTGGACTGTGCATGTTCTCCATGTGTCACGCGAGTTTCCCCCAGCTATTTCAGTCCGAAGACACAGTTTGGTCAACTGGCATCTCTAAATTGAGAGTTATGTTGTGTATGTTCTCTGTGATGGACTGATCCTGCCCAGGGTATGCCCCTGCCTTCCTGGGCCCGGCCCCACCTGACCTTGTCCAGGAAGGAAGATGCACGGATGAATAGTAAGCAGACCATTAACCACCAGCAGATGTTACAACTGGCTTAGAGGTTGACCCGTTTTTTTGAGAATGCAGGCACGATGAACACTTGGACCCTTAAATAAAACCACGATGACTTGCATCAGTGTCAACGACCACAACATTAATGGAGGTGGTTTTGGTCAAGTGCGCATGGGCTAGAGGCATAAAGCTTTCTGGTGAACAATTCCAGCAAGTAAACTCACAGCAGCCACGGCCAGCCCAGCAAGCCATGCAACCCTGGAAAACACCTCTCCTCTCAGGGGTGATTCACTCCCCTGACTTGGCTTTGAGGGGTTTACCGTTTTCTGCTTGGTTCTCTCTCGTGTGTGTGTGTGTGTGTGTGTGTGTGTGTGTGTGTGAGTGTGTGTGAGAGAGAGAGAGAGAAAAAAACAAAGAGAATAAATTGAATTTACAGCAATGACAGTCTCTCTTGAAACACTAACAAAATGGATTCTTTGTCTCCTGAAATTGCTTGACAAAGCCACAGGAAAGAAAAAAAAAAAAACTACTAAAAGAAACTAGGAAATTCCTTGAAACCGATTTCCTAATCCAACCGAACTATAAAAACGGGCCTTTGACCACCACCTGCAGCACCATGGCTTATTTAGCCACCAAATGGCCCACATCCTGCATCTCCACCTCCTGCATCTCCACCTCCATCTACAGCCTACACATTAGGTCAGAAGATGAGGCACAGACCACCACCCGCCACCACCCAGAGCACCTGGGGAAAAAACGCCACACAGAAGGGTAACCTGTCAGTAGTCTTCTATAATTACAGCTGCCAACAAAACCACTTGTATCCTCTACAAATAAAAGATCAACAAAAAGAATGGACAAGAAATGCAGATTCTATTCGGAGGGGACGACTTCATTTCCGCTCCGGCTGATGGAGGCAGCGGCTCAGTGCGAGTGCACCATTAAATATCACAAGCTACACAGGACAGATGAGGTGACAAGTTCGCCAAAGCAGCAAGCATCCCGAGGCAGGAGCTTCATCGGGTAATGTTGTCTCACTGGCACTTTGAGTTGAAAGCCAAGGAAATTACATGAAATCCATACTTATCAAATGTTGTTTACCAGGTGACCTTTTTCCATCATCAATGCGACCAGCAGACAGCAGAACAGCCTAGTGTCGATACCGCAAAGGCGCTAAATGAAGGCTGAGAATTAGTTTGTCACGCTTTGACCTTTATATGTGTCGGCTGGGGAGCAGAACCAGCAGGTGGGTCAACGATCCACCAAACGTACTCCCAGTTAATGAAGGAGGCCGACACAAGCCTGCAAGTGTGACACACAGCTTGCAACATTCTTTTCAGAGTACAACATACCCACCAAAATTTCAGAGCTCAGTCTCAATACAGGCTTCGTCCTCTAGACTGAAAACCCAGGGGACCAGCTGGACCCCAAAGCAAAATGATTCTTATCCTATACTAGCAGATACATTTTCCACTATTTTAATTCTCACCAGTTTACAGCAGATTCTACCTCCAGCTGGCAGAACTGCCCACATGAGTGTTCTTGAATCTTCTGCTGGAGACATCTGTGGCCATATATTCATAAATAGTCAAAAATCAGTGAGACGTTGATGTGTGTTCGCCGCAACGAGACGGCATGCTTCGTGTTGCTGAGGGCCATTAATAATTCAACCAGTCTCATCTACTTAAGGAGTAAACAGGACCACAGGGATTCCAGAAGCACTCCAAGTGCACACTGTGGCATGGGGACGAGCACACAGGTCCCTATGAAGCACACAGAGTACCCACTGTGGTTCTGTATGCTTCACACACTGGGTACCACAGAGAACCGGCAGAGCTCAAGCTTTCCTTCTGGTAATGAGGGGAAAAAGTGTGTCCAGTCGTCAGCTTATTTGCTACCGGTGCTCCTGCAGATTCTACTGAAAGGATATCTTGGTCTTATGCGACAACAAAGACAACCGTTCGAGGGGGTGAACGCCCGTCAACATCGGCACTGGCTGCCCTGGGGCAGGAATGTGTGGTAACAAAATCCAACCTCTATGATTTCTGGAAACGGAGACCTGGAAACGGCGACCTGGAAGCTCTAGCGTTAAAGACCCACTAAGACCTACTTAACCTTCTGTTCTGTCACACTAACAATCACCATCCATAAAACAGTGGATACTGCCGAGATGCTTGCTTCCAGTTAAATATAGATCACAGCACTCTAACGGAGAGGCATTCAGCATGTAACGTCAACAGGTGCAGCAACGGTGGGGGTCTTAAAGCCTTAGCACTGGCCCAGTGCCCTCCACCCCAGCCACAAAATGCTACATGGGACAGAAAGAACAAAGGAAATGAGAAGGTCTGCTAAAGTCTGTGACATTTGGGGCTTGTGATGCCCCTGGCCACTCCCCCCATCAACAACTCCCATACACACTCGGAGGGGAAGCTTGTGTCGCCATATTTGATAGGCCCTGAATGTGTAAATGGACTTCCTGGTGAGTTCTGCACGTTGATTCACTCATGGCCCCGAGCACCAGGCCCACAACACTGCAGAAGCTGAAACCGAAGGCCTGGAGCGGAGCGGCACAAGAGCCCGCATCTACCACGGGGACGACAGATGCCTCGCGGGCCTCGGGGTTCAAAGCCAGCCAGGGAGTAGAGAAGGGCTGGCAGCGACACCAGGGGCAGATCAAGCTCCGGCAGGGCAGCGTGGGGGCTCGCCTCACTCTGAGGGGCGGGTGGAACCGCGGCCCAAGGTGGCAGGAACTGGCACAGAATTTTCACACAGATGGGCTCGACCTGCTAAAACGTCAACGGGGGGGGAAAAAAAAAAAAAAGAGCACCCACACATCACCATGTTCACCACACATCTA